GGGTGCTGGGAATGTAGGGAGACCAGGCAGGAATTCCCTGGAATTCTGGGCTGCTGGAGGATTTCTGAGACCTCCAGGAACTCCTGCACCAGGAACGGGGCGATGGCGGGGACGCTGCTGCTCCAGGGGGGAAACCACCCAAAAATAGGGATCAATTCCACAGGATCCAAAGGAATTGGGGTGCTGGGAATGTTGAGGGACCAGGCTACAATTCCCTGGAATTCTGGGCTGCTGGAGCATTTCTGGGACCCCCAGGAACCCCGGGAAGCCCCCGGAGCAGGAGCAGCAGGAATGGGGTGATTGCAGGGACGCTGCTGCTCCCGGGGGGAAACCCCCCCAAAAATTGGGATAAATCCCCCAGGATTCCCGGGAATGGGAGTGCTGGGAATGTGCAGGGACTCACCACGCCCCCCTTGTCCCCTTCCATGAACTGCACGATCTGGCAGGAGGACTTTTCCCACAGGAAGATGTGGCCGCAGTCGCTGCCGCTCACCACGAACTCGCTCTTGGGGCCGTAGAAATTCACCCCTTTCACTGGAAAATCCGGGGGGAAAATGGGAAAAAAACGGGAAAAATGAGGAGCCCGAGGTCACTCCCGGTGGAATTCCCGGCCAGGAATCCCAGGAATCCCTCCCTGAGCCAATTCCCCCCCTTTGAGGGGGGAGAGAAAAGGCTGGAGGGGCCAAACTGGGAGAAAGTGGGAATGGGGGATTTTGGGGAGGGCCCTTTTCCCCTTTCCTGCCTTTTTTCCCTCCTTCCCCCCACCTTTTTCTTCCCTTTTCCCACTTTTTCCCCTTTCCCACCCCTACCACTTTTCCTCTTTCTCCCTTTTTCCCATTCCCCCTTTTCCCTTTTCCCCCATTCCCTCTTTTCCCTTTTTCCCACTTTTCCCCTCCCTCCTTTTCCCTCCCTTTTTCCCCTTTTCCCCATTCCCCCTTTTTCCCATTCTCCCTTTTTCCCCTTCTCCCCTTTTTTCCTTTACCCCCTTTTTTCCTCCTTCCCTTTTCCACCCTCTCCCTTTCCCCCTTCCCTTTTTTCCCCCCTTCCCTTTTTCT